AAGTGAAGGAGAGTTACAACGAACCTACGAGTCTACTTGAGTACACATTTGTAACCCGTACTGCCTGTACCGCCTCTGACGTGCATCAATTGTGCATGAAAACTAGACAGATCATTTGATCAAGTCCTTAGCGGGAGTTCGAGTGCTGTAACGGCATACCCGGATCTTTGGTTGCTACCACTTCAATCCGTTTCATGTCACGATCTGTCATCGCTCTGGTAGTGGTTGCTAAAGGGTGATAGTGAATTACTGGAGAAGAGTTGAGTCTCAGTAGGTGAATGGAACGCAGACTGAGCTACAACCTCATGTGGCCTGATGGTCTAGTAGTATGATTCCTTGTTAGGGTTGGTCAGAGTCGAAAAGACAGCTACTTATCGAGGAGGTCCCGGGTTCAATTCCCGGTCAGGCCCGTCACCTGGACTTTTGATGGTTTTCCTCTGGGTTGTTCAGCTATCGCCAGATTCACGGATAAGGCCGTCGTTGGTTTTGCCTGGTCAGCGGATTCGTTTACGTAGAGAATTGGGGGCGAAAGATTGGTCGTTATTTGATTCAACAATGTATATCGAGCTTTATTGAGCCGGGCGAGAAGAACAAAGGCGAGAGAAGAAGTAGCGCCACTTCAAGCTAACTCTCCATCCCAATCGATCGACGAGAAGTATATTTACGTGAACGAATGGTAGAAGAGTCGTCAGTATGACAACCTAGAAACGTGCGGGACATATACCTTGCCATTATCACTGGATACGGAGTCGACAGGCTTCTCGGCCATCTTCCCCGACCGCATTGCAGACTCCTATACCCACCTCCATGCTGTCCTTCCCAGGCCAATCAAGCTGTGAGCTGCATCGTAACGCGGCATTCTATCAATTGAGTCGCGGTCTTGAAAGGCGGAATAGCTGAGACCCTTCCACTAGCAACGGCTCGTGCCGAGGAGACCACCTCCGCCGGACCCGTCAGATCCGATCAACCCTCTGCGTGATCTAGTGCTCAAACGTAGCGTGAGACCGGGGAGCACTCCATGGGAAGTGTAGGCATGCTTTTGGGCGATGAGAAATTCAGGGGTTTGACGATCGCGACTCAACACGAAGGCCTCCTAGTTATAATTGATGAGTATGAATGCAGAAGAATAGCTTCGCTAGCCTCAGACATGAGTGCTATGGGACCCCAGATAATAGGTCGAGAGAACATTCGTAACGTTCAGCGAGCTGCTAAAGTGTCGATGCTTGATAGGATGAACAAGAAGCGAAAACCAAAGTCAAGAAGAGTAGCAATGTATGGCAACAGATGATAATAAATTCACCTGGCTTCTTGCAACATCAGCCTGACTCAGGTCGCCTGAGCGAACCGCTAGATCTCTTCGCCTTCTCGGCGACTAAACACCAATCTATCAGGTTTTCGGTGTCTACGGTGAGTTGGTTTCTGGCACATCCTCGAGTCTCTATGCCACAGGGGAAGACTAAAGAGAGTAAGAATTTAGCGACAGACGGCACACTACCCCTCACACGAGTGGGTACTATGTCTACGACTTCGTCATTGGAAGTGTGAGACTACTTGAGGTTCAGCAACATTCGACAGGGAACGTTCTGAGCAAGAACTGGCCATTATTGTAGTCATGGAGAGCACTGAGAAAGGCGGCCATTCGGACTCCAAAGAGGTTGATTTAGGGAAACTACTTTCATTGTGTCATTTGTAGTAAGTAGAGAGGGGGTAAGTACATTGAGTGATTATTTGAGTATTCGCTATTATACAGGAGAGCGCACGCATCAAATCCGACTTCCTCATAGTTACGCCTGCCTCAAAGCGACCTTCAAGGGCAGGCGAGACCCAGCATTCCAATCCCCTTTGACTACCGGAGCAGACACACTCAGCCTAACCTGATCAAATTCAGCACCCTCGGGTAGTTCGAAAGTGAATGACTCGACAAGGGCCGCTACGACAGCTTGAACTTCCAACACCCTGGAGACAGCTCCGTTAGGATTGAGCACGCGAATGATAAGAGGGGACGACATACGCGAAACGCCAGCCAATGCATGCTCGGATACCAGCACCTAATGGCGGGGAAGCAGTGCTTCTCAGTCTCCTACTACGTGCAGCCCAACAAAGGATGAAACGTACCAAAAGTCAACAGATTTGCGAAGATCCCGAGCGTTGATGGCTTTGTTACATTGAGGAACCGCTCAGGTTTCCATTCCTCCGCATCTTCTCCCCATACCTCCTTCAGCCTGGAAGCGACGAAATCAGGACCATCTAATGATCAGCGTAGGGATGAGAACCCACCGGTTGTAATTATATACACTAGCAAGGACCCTTTGACCTTTCGTGACTGGAATCTCTCTCAAAACTGAGCCTGAAGAATCGACGACTGGGAATTCCAGCGGGATAACGTCGTCAACTTCAGCTTCGCGAATAAGCTCGACAATGATAGGGTGGAAACGGAGAGTTTCCTGTTATGTCGTTCAGTGAGGACTTAACACATCGCTCGACAAAACGAATTGGAATGAACGTACCCTGATTACAGCATTCAGATAGGCCATGCCCTCCAAATCCTTTGCCAAGAGTTCCCCGTCGTTTCCGGTTTGTTCTCGCACTTGTTTGATTTCATAGAACAGTTTCTCTTGGACTTTGGGGTTCCTGGATAACTCGTACAATACCCAGTTCATCCTGAATAGAAAGACTGTCGTTAGACTTCAAAATCAACGAAAGAGCCTGATGACTAACGTGAAGGCCGTCGTCTCATGTCCAGCAAAGATGATCGTTGCCATCTGTGACAACCCCTCCGCTGGGTTCAAAGCTTTCTTCGGATCTTCTGCTTCCATAGAGCGAGCTGTGAATGGCGCAGTCAGACATACATTCAGACAATATTTTGTTGTTGCTCAGACGCACCGACAACGCTCAAAAAGTCGTTATCCTTCTCCCCAGCTCCCCCACTTTCTACCTTGTTCTTTGCCAGATCTCGAGAAATGGCCTGGCTTCTAGCGACCCAGTGTTCGAATCGTTTATCTTCCCTCGTCTTCTTAAGCTCTAAAAGACTTGTGACAGCTCTAGGCAAGAAGCGGTATGAGACACTGCGAAGGAACTGGTATTCGCCCGGGCTTCGGGTGTCAACACTGTAAGTATTTGCAATCAGATTAAAACACGGATGAGGTAAAAGTCGCGTCCATCGACTCACAAGAGATCTCGTAGAATTTCACGAAGTTCACTCGACTTATGTCCGCGGGAACCACTAAAGTCGTATTCGAGCATGGCTAGTGGCAAAGAAAGTCAGTAGCATCCTTAAGCATAACGCCGCTACCTACTGTCTCCAAGAGCTTCGAGAGCCATGCCATGGAGCCATGGAACGGCATCGAGCACGGTGGCACCATTCTCAATCTGCTCCTTCCACTTCAGTGCAAGCTATGCAACAACTGTTCAGTTACATGCTCTAAGCGGGACTACAGAATGACAGAAACGTACCGATCTCGCCGACAAGGAGAATAGTTGAGCAAAGGGCCTGATCTGTCCAGCAGCAAACGCCGGATTCAAGACCTTCCGCTGTCTCTGATGAGCGCCCCCTGTTAATATGAAAAGGCAACTGAGTTCTCCGAGTCGGTTGATCGAACGGAGTAAACGTACCGTTGGCACTCAATACCCCAGTCCCGAATACCCTACTAAAGAAACGTTCGACATCCCCGGGTTTCTTGTAACGGTACGCGGACTTCTGGAAGACGTGTTGAAGAGCGCGCGGGTCATTCAACATCAAGATGTCCTCCTATCAAAGGATCAGTTCGATTCGACCATGGTAAGCGAATCGATCCTACCCCGAAGCATCCTGCCAGTCGGAGAGCGGAACCGTACTGGTCGAACCAGGCGGTTTCAAGTCGTCCTACTACCCTCTTCCTACTCATGTCCCATTCGTGGCCTGTACAAAGTTAGAAACCCGATCAGGTCAGACATATCGAAGTGGTGAGCTTACCTAGAAGCAACGAAGGCGATGGAGGCCCCGGGAGAAACTTGAGAGAACGTCTTCTCGCTCGAACGACCAGAGCGGCTATTGTTCCCGTGACAAGAAGCAGAGCTAAAGCGACAAGTTGTGAAAGCATAGACATGTTAGAGAAATTTCCTTGGTATGAGGTATTGAAGTGCTGAACGAGCAAAGAGGGGTTCCCCTTTATACGATCCTTCGTTGACTTCCCGTGAGAAGGAGAAGACCTGAGACCGATATCGCTCGGACGTTGGTGAGCTTGATTTGCTGAGCAGGAATGAGAAGCCCCCTGTGGGTGAAGGAGCCTTGTCAGGTGATACTATATTTCTACCACTGGTACTCGCGATGCTTAATGTAGCTACCCAACGATCGCATTGAGCTCCACATGACAGAAATTATCCGAAAAGGCTCATAGTTTTGATTTTGTAAGTCCTAATTGTAGAATTCAGTCATTTGGCACGGGTGGTTCAGAGAGAGGCAATGACGTACCTCAGTGTGAGAGTCAACATCGGAGCGGTCGTCCAGTCTCATGAGGCGAGTACTGAGCGCACCTTACTCCTCGCCAGACGCCGTTGTAGCGACCATTCAACGCCACCAAATCTCGAGGGTACCAATTAGTCAAGACCCGTGCAGCATCCGATGGGCTGTGGAATGAATTGGACCCTTGGCCTCATCGAATAGCTTTGACAAATCATTGTAGAGGTGAGCTGATGCGTGTCCGGTCGGATTGTGTCTGGGAGCATGAGTGATTGCGAAGAAAGTGCGCAGTTACAATCAATTTCGGATATTAAGTTGGTTTGATAGCCGGGATGAGATGACTTCGTATTGTAACATAGTCGTGGAGGCGGTCCATGGAGCGATCTTGTTGCCAAATCTTTTTTTAACGCTCAGGACCGGGAGGTTCATCGACATCGACATCGACATCGGATCGTCGACGGTCACTTGACACTTCCGCTCTAGCGCTCTGTCCTACCATTAAGATCTCACACGTTCCCAATCGTACAACGTTCAGAGTTTGAGCAAGAAAGGGCGCAAATACGTGATACAGAACTCGCTGGAATTCATAAGTTGGGTACGGCCTTCTTCCTGATACATACAGTGAAGAAATATGCAGGCCTCCATACCTCCCATAACCTTGCATGCGGTTCCTAGGGCACCTAAAGTATGGATAGGTGAGCTATACTGGGTATGGCGAAGAGGCAAGATAGCTTACAAGTAGCAGCTCAATCCAGAGAGCGAAGGTAAACATCGTCGCCAAACCCTCTTCTGGTGACGACAGTTTTGCCGGTTGTCGAAGCGGCGAGTGCCGAACTTCGAGTACACCATCCCAATCATGGGGGCCGGTTCTGCAAACGCCACAGCGTCGCAGGCTAATCATACCGGGTTTCCTTGTCGGATCAAACCTGGTCTCTCGTTTCGTGGGGTATGACAGCAGCCTGTAACGAGGGA